CCCCCGACTTGAGAGGCACCAGTCGCCCATCATGATCTGGCATAACTGAAACTTTATCATTTGAATAATATCCTTCATTTATTGGAAGTCTAGGGTGTTAGTTCAATGAACAAATCACCACATTTCTTCTATTCTGCTTGTCTTCTTAGATTTCAGCATTACAAAACAAGAGAAGTCTCATTTGGAGCTGGACAGGCCACAATAACCACCTTCCTGCGTTCACCCAAGCCAGCTGGAGGTGAATCTGATTGCTACCATTCATCAAAAAGTGCACAGGCTCAGGCCAGTCATGAGTCAATCATGATGCACCTGATTCTGGGTGAGAGCTTGCCACTGCGAATAGTGGAGTCACAAGGATGTCTCAACTTTATGCAAACGGTTGATCCTCGGTACAAGCCTTTGTGCAGGCAGACCATGAAAAAAGATGATCACCCACAAGGCAAACGACCTGAAGTACGAAATAACTGAGAAGCTTGCAAAATGTGAAGCTGTCAACACTACACTGAATTTATGGACAGATAGAACGATGCAATCTTTCCTTGGTGTAACAGCACATCATGGAAGATGACGGTGAGGGAATTAAATTGGCAACATACACTCTGGCTTGTGAACATTTTATGGGTAGGCACACGGGTGACAGGATTACATCAGCATTTGACAAAATACTTGAGTACTATAGAATCAGGAACAAACTTGATTTTTATCATCACTGACAATGCTTCAAATATCAAGAAAGCATTCACAACAGCTTTCTCAGGGCTGGTGAGGACACTGCAGAGCTGGCAGAAGATGGGGTAGAGTCATCCATTGATTCAGCAGCTGACCTTGCTGATGACACTCTTTGGGAGCTGCTAGATGATGTGGACCAGCATGAGTTAGACTCCATGTTCTTCAACACAACACGGGTGTGTTGTTTGTCATGTTTCGCCCATACTCTTCAGGTCTGTGTCAGTGATGGGCTCAAGGAGTGTAAAGGTAAGAAAAAAATGTCAGGTTCAAAGTTGAAACTTTGAACCGATAATTTCAGAGTAAATGCTGGCAGCAGCAAATGCAGTTTTGCAAAATAATGAACCATGAAAGCTGTTAAAGATGTCAGTGATCAACCACAGGAAACATCTTGGCAGCAGTTCTGTGACAACAGCTTAACAAAAAGCGAAATAAAATCTTAATTTTTTATCATGGTAATCTGTTCAGCTTTGAACAGTAGTTTATTTGTTGCATAGCAATATGCTAAGAATGTTGGTTTTAGAAAGGACATTTTTCATTTAAACCACTTCATACAGATCATTCAGTGCAATTGAAGAATTTGATTTGTGTTTATGACTGTCAAATGTGTTCCCAAGCACAGGGGATTTTCCAAATTGTAAATGGACATCAGTTTCTGTTTGAAATGGTAATAACTTAATTGCAATGAATGTCATTTGTTTCTAATTAGATGTTAGACTTGCTATGTCCAAGACTGACAGTGCATTTCCCCTCCAGCACAATCTTCAAAGAGGCATTTGAGAAACCTTTGGAGCAGACAAGTGTACTCCATCCCCCAATGCCACCCAATGGCATGAATGCCGTGTGCCCCTGGAGGCGGGGGGGCAAGGCAAGCTCTGGCAGGCGGTGCTGGTGGTGGTAGGAGTGTGGTGGCGGTAAACGTGGAGCTCCTCTAGGCAGCTGTGATGCTGTCAGCGGAGGGTGGGGAAGGGTGATGAGCACTGACCAGTGGTCTGCTATCATCCGCCGACGCCATCAGCAGCGGCCAGTGGCAATCACAGACCTCTCACCAATGCCGCTGGTGGTGTTGGCGGTGGGGGCGGGGGTGGGGGGATGAGCAGTGACCACCTGCAGGTACTGCTGGCAGTGTTGGCAGCACCTTTTCATATGGGGTGCACCGCTATGCTCAGGGGGTGCGCGTGCACCCACGTGCACCCCCACGTGTCACCATTGCCCAGTGGAACTCTGTTTTACTCTGGATACTGTCCATCATATTATTGGATCATCAACAGCTCTCTGATACATGCAAAGAAGCAGGCCATATAGAAATTGTCCTGTCGGTACGTGAATGGGCACACATGAAAGAACGTGTTGAGATGCTGCAACCATTTGCTGAAGCAACAAACCTCACATAAGTACCAATGATAAGTTTAGTGATTCTTGCCATCAGTTCACATTTAGAGAACTGTGGCAAAAAGCCTCAGTACCTGCAGCCAGTCATTAGTGAGCTTAAATCATCTCTCCATGAGCGTTATTTGGGGATTTTCACAAGTGTCTGTCTCTAGTGGGTTATGGAATAGAGAAAATCCCACACAACTTATTGATTCATTTGATGCACTGGCTGGGGAAATTTTTAGCTACTTGCACGATTTCACAATGATTACACTCTTAATTCATACAAAACAATTTTATTTTAAAATTCTTTGCTACGCATATAACACTGCTTAGCTTTAAGAAATACCACAAACATTAAGAACACAATAACTACATATATCAGAAACAATGCTCCAGATGCACTTCCTTCCCAAACAGTGCTATAAGAATTAGTATTACAAACTACAATTACAACTAAAAGTTAAATTTGAATCAATACTATTATTTTCATAATATACTTACAATCCTAGAATTCCGAGAAGCCAAACACCTAGATATGCTTTCATTCCTCAGTAGTACAATTTAATGGGTTGGCCTCAGTAGTATGGTTCAATGGGCTGGCCTCAGTACTGATAGGACTAAGTCGCCTTCCTCCAGTCCCTTTTGGGCGCTCCGCGGCTTCAGCATGAACTAAGAGATTCGTGTTCAAGGAGAGGGTGGTTCAGGTGATCAGTCTGATCCAACCTACACTTGCGATTCTTCCTTTGTTGTTCTGCAAGTGAGGTTATCTCCAAATTGGGACAGTAGGTTACAATATTTCTTGAGTGATTTGCTGTCTTGGGCCCCTCCTACCCAAACCTGTCACTACTCCCAAATTTGGGCTCCGGAATGTGGGATGTTTGCTTAAGGGTCGTTTTTAGGTTAACTTTGTTAAAGGCCTCTAAAGATAAAATTCAAGAGTTAAGACTTTGAGCAAAGCTCGGACCTTCCACACGTAGGCCAAAACAATGGCCTAGATAAGAAGATGAATCTTGTCTTTTTCCTAAACTGGCTAATGGGCAACTATTACAAACATTCAAATATTACATTCAATATAACAGTGTCGGTGTAACAGGGGGCCTTCTCAGGGCCAATCTGTCTTCAGCCCACCCACCTGTTTCTGGGCTAACCGCTTGCCTTCTCGCCCGCCACGCCTTGATGACATTTAATTAAGTTGTTAATTAAGCGGGAGGCTGCACAGTTCTTGCCCCGATGCCAGGGGTGCTATCTGCGGCTTCGTACCTTCCCTAGAACGCCGCACATGTCTCGCAGATGGCAGCCCATGCCTCGCAGATGGCATCCAGCTGTTACTCTCACCGGCCCCACACTGGGCCCCCAAATCCTCCCATCAGGACCCCTCCAAGATCCCTCCAATCAGCTGGCCTACCCTGCCCTCATTCAGGGCTGCTGCGCTCCCTGAAACTACTTCCCCTCTTGGACGTGGTCCACCCCTGGGACCTTTGGCCACACAGACCCTGGCCCTGCCTCCAAGTCCAGTCGGGAACCCCAGGCCCCCCAAGCTCTGGGTGTCCCTCGCCGTGGGCCCCCGGCCCTTTTGACCGTTCTGGTCCTGGCCCCAGCCCTGACTGGTCGAGGGTACTCTCAGTCAGGCCTCTGAGCCTCTAGCCCCACTCTCACTCCTGGGGTCTGCCCTCAGGACCCTACCAGCGGGTGACCCACCTGGTTGTGGGAGCTGGGGTTAAGGTGCCCTGATCCGCCTTTCACCGGGGTGGTCACTGGCCTGGCATTTCCTGGGGCGTCCCGCTCCTGGGGTGGGGTGAGAACCCCACCAGGCCACCCATGCCCGGCAGGGTGCAATTTTCGGTCATGCCCAGGACCAAGAGCCTCCTAGCCATCCCCTACAGCTCCTCTCTTACCTCCAGATGGTACTAGCAGCCTTACAGCCAGGCGATGTTGCTGCCTGGCCTGCCAGCAGCAAAATGCCCTGCTTGTATAGGCAGCCCTGAATCTAAAATGGTTGCTGCAGTGAGGCACCTGCTGGCTGCTTGGCTTAGGTCTTAAAGTGGCAGCACCCACAGTGCCCTGCCACAGTCGGTGTGACTGAGGAAGGAGTGCCTGAATTCAACAACATCCATCCATTTGGGGAGTTGGTGCATGCTGTGGCGACAGTCCTGAATCCTGCCTTCCCTTTCCAGTGGCTTGCTGATGTGAATGTTGAGGAAGAAAAGAGAGGTTATCTGTGTTAAGGTGAAACGTAAGAATTTTGTGTACTTTTCCCCCTTAAATCATATACAAGGGAACAATATTAACTAGGCAGGATAACTTTAAATTGGAATTCTAGTGCATCAATGCCACCTACCTTTTTAACATTCTTGGTTTATGTAGAAATCTAGAAGAAATTTAATTTGAATGACAACATGTCTGGAATAATTTAGCCTATAACCATAATCCGATTGAAGATGTCAGCTTCTTGACTCACCAATCCAGACTTCTACTTCCCTTGTCCCTCACTGACTCACTGTATGTATGTCAGTGTAATATTATAATGTTACTACCATTAACTTAGCAACAACTTTATGAAAGGTAACTTAAAAGATTTATTAAGACACAATACAATTCCAATATTATCCAAAGTAGGCATGTACCATTAAGTCTCTGTTTTAAGTGAAAATGTATATTTTATCTTGTAACGCCCCCCCCGCACAGTTTTTTATGTTTATTTGCAATTATGTAAAACGAGTGATGATGGAAGCCGAGTCTGTGGGTGGGAATACGTTTGCTTCAAGCACAAATGAAGAAGATGATGAGCCACCTTACAAATATGTAGAGCTCTTCTCCTTCTGCAAGAAACAATGTTCCAACGGTGCTCCCAAAACAGTCGCCTCCCAGCTAGTGAGATTTTTGGAATTAGCAGAAGATACTGAAGCTCCTTGCTTGAAGCTCTGGGCACCTAATAAAACAAAGCTGAACATGCTTTATGCCCTTGTAAAGAAGGTTATAGCAGTCCAAGCATCAGTGCACCAGTACGGAGTATTTTCAGTCGGGGGGCACTGTTGATGTGGCCACATTGCTCTCATCTTGGTGACAGATTACTGTTGGACTTGGTATTTCTTAAATGCAACCATCAACCAGGACAGCAGTCTGATACTTGCACTTGCATATAGACCGTAATCTGTTGGTACAGTTAAACTATGATTTTGCCTCAACTACTGGGATTGCTATTCTTTGTAACTGCTATGTGTTAATGCCTATAGCAATAAATCTATCCCAAGAAAGGCTGCATAATTTCATTTCATTATGTTAATGTGCCTTTCATTATGCTGAAAGTCAGTGGGGGATGTATGTTCATATTGTGCATCTCAATTTTATATTTGATTTGAAAGTTTTTTGTTGTTTTAATTGTTGATTGCTAATCTTGTGTAAAGTTCATCTGAATAAATCAAACCATGTTGATCGGTCAGAACGAATTACTTGAATTGACTCGAGCCAGATAAGTGACTGGACTCGATCGAGCTAGGCATGTCAATGACTCGACTCCACTCAAGTCTTTACTCACAAATTACTCTTTACTCACAAATTACTCAACTCAACTGAGTCCCAATTTTTGTGACTCATTACAACCCTGCTGTGGAAGGGACTCTGCTCTGAAAGCAAAACCTGCTGAAAGCAAATGGCAGGTTGGATCCCTCATCCAGGAGTGAGCTCTTGATGCTGCTTAGTCTTAGATCTAATTTAGAGACACCGGCACTGTAATCATTAATGAGAAATCATGATTAGGATGGAGCAATCCCATGCACTGGTACAGGCTGGGACTGATTAGCTGGGCAGCAGCTCTGCAGAAAAGGACCTGGGGTGACAGTGGACAATAAGCTGAATATGAACCAGCAGTGGGCATGAGTTGCCAAGAAGGCTAATGGCATCCTGGGCTGCATTGGCAGGTGTATTGCCAGCAGATCGAGGGAATTTAGTTATTCTCCTCCGGTGAGGCTACATCTGGAGTCCTGTGTTCAGTTTTGCACCCTCCACTATAGAAAGGATGTCGGCAAATTAGAGAGAGTTCAGTGGAGGGTAAATGGTTTGGGGGCT